AGCCACCGAGCCACCGAGCCACCGAGCCACCGAGCCACCGAGCCCCCGCTCCGGCCGGAGAATTTCTCGATCGTTCCCTCTCGGCAACTCGCCGCTGCCCATTCACTCCTATCCTACATCCTACGTCTCACGATTTACCGCGACGGCACGCCGATGTGTTTTTCTGAAAAATCAATCGTTCGATAAAGGCAACGACCCAACGCGCGTTGTAATTGAAAATTTCCCCTCGTCGAGACGAGCTTCCCTTGTTATTGCCGCTTCGTAATACTCGTCGTTGATATTTATGGTCACGCTGTCGCTCCCGCTGTTATATCGACCGTCCCTAGTTCTTTTCACCGCGTTTTCAATTAAACGGCGAATCGTACGCGAAGAGAGAAATTGGAGGAAAGAGGACCCGCTTAGGAATCACGTCACTCCGGCTCCGTTCATTTTTCGCCTTTTTTTTTCCCAAGGTGAAATGGTTCCGAACCTCTTATTCCCTGGTTTCGATGCATTAATGATAGCGAATAAATGCACGCTCGGATGCACGTGGCGCCTTCGAAGGTCGGAGGAGAGTTCCTCTTCCTTCGTCGAACGTTGCTAAGAGTTGGATAGGATTAGGATCGTGTAACGGAGCGTCCGTTGAACTGTTCCTTAACCGCGTTCGCCATCGAAGAAATTACGTGTTTCGTGGGTGCGTTTAAGCTTACGCTGCACACTGTGCCCTGGTAGTGGCGCGCGCCCTTGTCTCAAGCACGAGCGAAGAGTTCTCGAAATTACGTAGTGTGCAAACGACGACGCCGTGCCGGAGTTTTCAACGATGCAAAAACGCGCCAACTAAAAGTTGGATTCGTTATCACGTCGAGGTCGCTACGGTGACGATCTCGGAATAGTGAATATTTCGCAACGGTTATTCGGCGACCGCTACGTAAAGCGCGTCGAGCGATAAATCAAGCAGAAGACTGGATTCCCTCGAGGCGAAAATATCGACCGATTTCCCAAGGATCGAATCGGATCGGAAAAGGACTTTGTGTAAATGCGAGACGTATGGAGGGGGTGGAAGGAAGGAATATCGCAAAGAGGGGAGCGAGAGACGGGGAACGGTTCGGCCCCGTTGCGCTTTCCTCGGAAGCGACGACGAAGCCACCCTGTATCGACCCAGCAACGCCCACCCAAACAGCAACCCCCACCATGGATGACCTACCAAAAATTTCGACACGAC